TTAAGATGTTATTTTAAGTGCTAAATTGTTTTTTGAAGACTATGACTACATTAAAATAAAGTTAATCAGCTTAGAATCTTGTTTTCTAAATTATATTTTTTAAAATCAAACAACTCAATTCATATTGACCAAAGGGGAGAATGTTATAATTTTCTAGTAAGTGAGCTACAAATAATTGGTGATTTTAATATTTAATAAAATAGGTTGATAATTTTAACCTTAATACAAGATAAATATCAAAGTCTAAATAATTTAAAATAATCACTTATGTGTGGGTTTTGTACATCTCATTGGGTCAGTGTGGTTTGGCAATTATGTAAGGCTTTGGTCCAATAAGCCTTTAATGAGAAGGTTTTAAGGTTTTAATAATATTTGGCTAAAGTCTCCTTTTCACTTCTAATTAATAGTATCTAGCCATTGAGAGCCATCAGTAATAAAAGAGCGAAGAGGACTAATTATGTCTCTAGGATCAATGTTGCTTTCGTTTATCAACCATTACCGCCCAAACGTGTACACGATATGATTAAATTTGGTATTTAGTGATATTGGATTATACTTACACGGGTTACATTAAAGTTTAACCCATTAAATCTTTAATTTCCTTTTTTTCATATTTATCTTGAGCTCTTCATTTCTTAACATTCTATACTAGGCATTCAATTTTGTTTTTTGTTTTTTTTATTAACTATTTACCCAATTATTGAATTTTGAATATCTTGACCAACAGAAAACCATCGATTAATTTCTTCCAAATTTTTTGTATCTTACAAAACTATTTTTTTTTCATTGTTTCATTTTGGTTTCCTTAATTTTCATAGTGTTAAACATTTAAATGCAATATTTAAACATCTATAATCTATAATGCATATAAAGTACGAATGTAAAGATTCTTTTGAATTGAATGAAATAGGCATGGTTATTCATTATATTCTTAAATTTGATATTTATTAAAAATTAGTAATATAATCAATTAATAATTCTACTCAGTGTTAGCTTTGACAAGCTGAATTATAATCCAATTCATATATTAATACTAATAACTTATAAGAGTTTGAAATAATGTTGTAGTCTTAATAGTTTTAACTATTTAATTGTGATTATTGTAGAAGTGCTATAATTGATTTTATTATATACTTAGTGTTTTTATGTTTTTATGTTTTTATTTTTTTAATTTTTTTTTTTTTTGGTTGAAATTCTTTCTAATGTTTCAATTCTTAAATTTAATATTGTGTGTTTGTATTTATAATGATTCTTATTTCTAACTGTTCAAAAAAATTGTATAATAATAATAGTTAAGAATATATTTCCTTCGCAAAGTGATAATTAAGAATAATTTTCTTTGCACACCATATATTTTTCAAGTAAATTAAATGGAGTAATGTTGGTTAAGCTATATAACGACAAAGGTTAAGAATACAAGATACTTGAATTCTGTGCATGTTAGAAAGACAAATATATTGAATTTATTAGCTTGAATAAATACTATACAGAAATATTCTATTTATATATAAAAGACTCTTAATAATTAAAGTAAAAATTTCATTCGATATCGTAATCATATTGTAATTTTAGATATTATTTTAATTATAATATCGTAATCCCTAATATATTATATTTGATAATATAATTACATAATATTACAAAATATTACATTAACACTCCATCAAACTTAAAATGGTATTTCAGATGCCAACTTGAATTTGTTAATTAATTCTTGAAACTAGCAAGAGAAATGTGTCTTAGTAAAAATATTAGTAGTTTGATTTGAAGAAAACACAGAAGTTAGAAAAATAGTCCCTTACAATGCATTATGCCGTATAAGATGACAATCAATCCAATATGCTTGATGCATTCATGAAATACATCATTATAAGCAATCTGAATAGCATTGTGATTATCGCAATAAAGTTTGGAGGCAGAGGATGGTGAGATGCCCATATCTGCTAATAAATGTCGAAGCCAAAGTAATTCTAAAGTGGCATCAGTGAGAGCACAATATTCTGATTCAGTGTTACATCGAGCAACTACCGTTTGTTTTTTGCTTCGCTATGAAATAAGAGAATCTCCTAAAAAGGAAACCATAACCAGTGGTGGAATGACAATTTGTAGGATATCCAACCCATTCGACATCAGAATACACGAAAAATGTTAAGAAAGTGTGAGTAGAAAATTGAAGTCCATGAAATAGCGTGCCTTTGACATAACAAAGAATCCGAAGAATAGCTGAAAATGAGTTGAACGAATTGCAACCATAAATTGGCTAACTAGATGAACATCATAAGTAATATCAGGTCTAGCTACTATGAGTTAAACTAGATTGCCAACAAGTTGGCGATATAATGTAGAATCAAGGAGTAAAGTACAATCCATTTGAGTAAGCTTAAAATTAGGCTCCAAAGGGGTAGATACAGTTTTACAATAATAAGACTAGCTCGAGAAAGTAAATCAGATACATATTTAGCCTGAGGAAGATCCATTAGAATTAGGTGATATTTAAAGGCCCAAGAAATAACTAAAAGAGTCAAAATCCTTAATTTCAAATTGCTTATGAAGAAACTATTTTAATTCAGCAATGCAAGACTGATCATCATTAGTGATTATCATATCATCCACATAAAAGAAGAAGAAGAAGAACAACAACAACAACAATGCCCTAATTTGTATGTCGAACAAATAATTAGAGCCATTAAAGTTGGAAGTAAAACCAAGATAAGCAAAAGTATAATTGAATTTTGCAAACCAAGTTATGGATGCCTATTTTAATCCATATAAAACTCGCTGAAGTTTACAAACTATATAAGGAGGATGAGATTAACCAGGTGAAGGAAACATATATACTTCTTCTTGAAGATCACTATTGAAAAAGCATTTTTGACATCCATTTGAAAAAGTTTCCAATGCTTAACAGCAACAATGGCTAAGAGGCTTCGCATAACTAAGGTTTCTTCATAATCAATCCCATACTCCTGATTATAATCCTTGGCCATTAAACAAACTTTATATCTTTCAATAGATCCCTCAAAACAGGTATTGATTTTGTAAACCCATTTGTAGCCAACCGAAGTCTTGACAAAAGGAAGGTCAACTAGATCCCAAGTATGAATTTTCTCAAGAGCTTGAATTTCTTCAGTCGTAGCTTGCTGCCAATAAGGATTAGTACTAGCCTCACGGTAAGATTGACGTTCTTGTAGGTTAAAAATAGCAGAAAGAAAACGATAATCACTGAGATGATGAGGAGTTTCTCTTACCAAGTAAAACGAAGAAAAGTAGGAGTAGGTACAGTGTTAACAATTAGTTCAAATTCTATAGAGATAAGACCATGAGTGGGAGCTTGGTGGTGCTCATTAGATGTATCAGAACATTACATTAATTGTGTAAATATCTTTCGTTTTGACACATTTACATAATGCCACAGACCACAATATTATAAAAGGGGCAAGACTTAGATAAAGTTTTAGGTGAAATTCATAAAGTTTTTTACTAAAAAAAATTGAATAAAAAATATTAATAAAAAATCTAAATTGGAAAATTGAAGAGTTCACTAAAATATTAATAATATATAAAAAAAATTGAAAATACAAATTATAATTCAAATTTGATTAATACTTATTCAACAGTAAAAATTCTATTAAAATTTTTAATAAAAATACTTATTTAAAAAATATATAATTTTTTTAAAATTTTTTTTAAATTTTACATAATTTATATAATAAGATATTTCAATCTATCAATTTAGAACTTCAATTTTAATTTTTTAAATTTTTTAATAAAAATTTTCATAAATTTCAGCTAAAAAATTTTATCTAAAGATTATAAAAGTGAGTAGAGCTAGATGATTAGATTCTTTTGGCTGCATTAATTGTTAAGAGAAGTTTGACTTATAGTTTTTTTAATAAAAAAATATATTTTCTTCTTAATATTAAATCTATAAAATGGTTTTAAGTTTTTTCCATTTTCCTGATAATCACTTTTTCCATAATTATTTTTTTCTACGAAAGTAATTTTTTGTCAAAAGAAAAATGTTATTTTTCAAATTACTTTAGTTATATTTTTAATCAATAATTCCAGTTGATTAGATGATCTACTCATTGATTATTTCATTATATACGAGTTTTATGCATATTGCACATGTATTACTTAGTAGTGAGCGATAGCTGATAAGTAAATAACATCAATGTCCACCGATTTTACCAACTATTAAAACTTTCTTGTATTTATTTATTTTTGCTTTTTAATTTAAACCACTTTTTTTTCTCTCTTTTTTCTTTTTTTTGACATTTTGTTCATTTGACATCTTATAATTGAATTTCTAGATAGACCCAAGATCGAAATATTTCTAAAATTTATAAGGTATAGGAAGGATCAAATTATTTCTTTGGATTTTTAAATTGTATTTCTCACTTCTCTGGTTTATTCAATTAAACCGTAATTGATTTATTGATTTATATTTGTATTTTATATACGCATAAGGCGTGTTTCCTACTGCTATGAAATTTGCAACATTAACGAAAAGTAAATGGTTAAAATGAACTATATATTAATGGTAAAGAATATTATGGTAAATCGAACATGGAGTTTTCTTCTACCAAATTGACTTTTTATATTATTCAATATTATTCAACGCTAAGCCGAATTACTAATTAGAGTATCACTAATGAAGAATTTTGTGGTCCATGGAATGCTTTGGAGAAGAGATTAACTAGATAACTTCTCCTTGGTTTTCTGCCCTCTGTTAAAGTGATGGCGGGGCATTGAGAGGCATTATCCCTCGGAGGTGTGGGACAATTCTCGGCTATCCAGACTATCCCAACTCCAACTGGGTTTCTCACTCCACTAAATTTTAAATAGTTTCCTTTAAGCGAAAGCTAGTAACGTTTGTAAGTGAAACGTCATTACAAAATTACCACTAATTTTTCATTTTTTTATAGACTAAAATGGAATTTGCAATTTATTTATTTATTTTCTGCGGTACAATACGAGGGGATTTATTGTTTTCAACATTACAATCTCAAAAAAGCAAGTGCACAATCATGATTGTTGAGTACTCCCAAGGAGCAGTGGAAGTTTAGAAAATCCTTTATCAAGGTTTCCTTGTACAAAGGTGGATTACTTGCTGATAACAATTCCTTTATGGGGCCGCAAAACTTGTTCGATGGTTGAAAATGAGTTGTACTGAATAAGCAGACCACTGATACTCTTGGGCCTGCACGATTAGCCAAAACTCTGTGCTGAACGCTCCTGAACTTGTCGTTGGAGATCAGCTGCATTGGAACAGTAATTGAAATTATATCCCTCCTGTTGATAAAACCAAAATTTTGTATTGTTCTGTATTTTTCTCTAAGTTTTACAATATTTTTTTTCAAAAACCGCATTTAATTGTCATGAAAATAGTGGGAAATAAGCGAATTGTTTATAAAATAAATTGGTTAGACAGACATGAAAGTAGAAGCAAATCCGAATGGATTAAGACGGACGGTGCATGCATAAATTCCAGGGTCTTTAATTTTATTTATGTTCCTGCATACATACCTGTAAGAGGTCGCCAATATTAACTATTAGAGCTCCTTCCAGTGGTGGGACATCAATCCAGTGATCTTGGTGAAGAACTTGGAGACCTCCAATTTGATCTTGTAAAAGGACTGTGAGAAAGTCAGGATCACAGTGTTTGGCATGTCCTAGAGTCCGGTCAGGTTCAGGGCAAGCCGGATAGTACTGACAAAAAAGGGCATGCCCTTCCATACACCCCATATCTGTGAGGTGAGAAGGGTTGAGACCAAGGGCCTCGGACAGCAAACCAAAAAGAATTTGGCTTATGTTCTGAACATGCTTTGAGTACTCCATCAGTATTTCTCTGCATTAATTTGAAGGTCATGAGTAAAATTCTATCAATAGTATTCTGACAAAAACAAACATATGTAAGTGTAACTATGGTTGCCGCTGGGTCGATCTTAGAGTTTGTCATGTCTACCTGCAAGCAAAGGGATACTCCTCTGGAGGTGGAGGATTTGGAGCCATGACACAAACCAAAGTGTCCCTCCAACTAGCAGCTTTTGACTGGTACAAATCATAGTTGCTAGTAAATCTCACCTTCTTCTCATTCTCACGTGAGTAGAATCCCATCTTCACGTCATTGGGTTGCTCATGGAATCTATGAACACCTGCAAGGACCTTGTTCATGACGTCTTGCGGGATGCTGTGGTTTATAAGCTGGAAGAACCCCCATTTCTCTGATGCATATTTGATCTTTTCAACAATTTCTGTGTGTGCATCAGGATCTGATTTTATATCTTTTAGATCTATGATGGGAATCTGAAAACTATCTACATGATGATCATCCAACTTTGCAGACAGTATATCTTCAGGCGGCAAGCAAAAAATTCGAGGAATTGTAACTACACCAGCATCAACAAGTCCCTTAACACCGGCTTTTGTGTCATCAAAGGCCTTCAGCTCTTTTGCTCTATCATAATCTTCTTCTTCTGTAGGCAAAACTTTCTGCATATGAGAGTCCATTTCCATTTCTGCCAATGGTATATGCAAAACTAGTACTTTTTACTCGGTCAACAAAAAACAAAGCAAAGCAACGAATATATGCATGCAGAGGTGCATCCACTCCACACCACACAACAAAACAAGGCACGTCAATCATATTAATAATATTTGCCAATTCAACTGGACAGGTAAACAATTGGTTGTTCATTGGTCTTATTAACAATATCTATGAAATTAAAGACAAAGGGCCATCAATCCGATGAGTCATCAAGACAGCAACATTGCCTTTCCCCAAATCATTAGTTATATGACATTGCTAATTCATTGACTATATGAAAAATACAAAAGTGACTCTTTCTTTATAATTTATTGAAAATCTTTTTAAATGGCAAATTGTTTTCTTGTACCTTTCTGCATCTTCCCTCTTTGTATATCCTAGACAACAGATATATAAAAAAAAATGCTTACTGCGTTATAGTTTATGCGATCCACTTTTGTATATTATAAAGTTTTGTTTTTGAAAGACAAAATTGGATTTTAAATATTTTGTTTGGTTGATACTTTTATTACGTTTTTGTTATTATTTGTTTTCTATTTTTTTTTAAATAAATAATAAAGTGATATATGCACCAAATTCTCCAATCCAATGCTTTCTTTTTAAAACATTTGGAGTTTAATGCTAAGACGTTGTTAAATGACCTTGCTCATTTTTTCTGTCTCAACAAACGCGTTCCAACTAAGTTTTAGAAACAACTACCACCTCTGGAATTTCGGCACATTCAATTTTGGATATTTGGACAAAGGAGTTCTCTTTCCTTGTCAATTTGAGTTCAATCTTTGCAGAAAATGCATTCCACGGGTAAAATATCAAATGCATTAAGTTCTCATCGTGTAAAGGGTTAGGTTTAAGTAAAATTAGAGATACACTGCTATTACTAAAAAAAAAAAATTATTTTCTCAATATATATACATATAATATAAATTAAACACTTTTTTTTTTGTACCTTGGCAATTGTTTAGTGTTAAACAAATCAAGATTATGGGTGAATTGATGACAACATTGATATGTTTTTGGTCAATCACTATACAAAAGTGTTGGAAGTGGTTTCAATTAGGTCCTTTTGATTATAAAATTAGTCAAGTTGCTAAAGAATGAAATTCGTAGAGACCTTTTCTTTTTATTTGTAATATCAAATAACATTGTTAAGAAGACAAGATTCAAATCCCATTTTTTAATAGAAAAATACAAACATTTATTGTTAAGTTATAAGAACAACCTTTTTTAGCCTTTTAAAATTGGATGTATGATATTATTTTGATTTCTTTTGTTATTCCTTGGTTGGTGAGCAAGCAAAAGATTCTGCATACATGTTTAGTTTACTCAACTTTCCCCAAATTTTGTCATGAATCCCTTGGTAGATGCCTGTTGGGAGAATAAGTGGAATTATTTCTCAAACAATTTTTGTCAGGTCAGTTGGTAGATGTTTGTTGCTTTTCATTTTATATTTTGGTTAGGTTTAAATAATTTTATTCAAATTCAATTGTTTTAGGTACATCTAATATGTTAATTTTGTAGTGAATGGATGAAGGATAGGATGTCCACGAGACATCCCATTTTTTTCTCCATTCTTTATGTTTTAATATTTTTTATTAAATTTTAAAAATTTTAAAATTATAATCTATTTTTTATTAAATAAATTTTGTAAAAAAAATCAATGGAGTAAGGATGATAAAATATTTCGTATCCGATAAATTTTGATTCATATCATTCAACATAAGTGCGTTGTTTATTAAAAAATTGAATTGAGGTTTTATTTTGTTTTAAATAAGGTCGGGTTAGAGACGGATTTAAGTTGTTTTGTCCTATCTCAGGTGCATGGCACCTCCCTTTTTTTTTTTTTTTCTTTGTTTTTTAAATATTTGCTTTTTTAGGTTTTTTTTATTAGATAAAATTTGAAATTAAAAAATTAATTAAGATAGAGATGACAAAATAACTCGTATTTGATAGATTATGATTCGATCTGATTTAGTTGTTGCACTTTTTTCAATTCAGAATAATTGGGTTGAGTTCTTTTACAGTGAGCTTAGGTCAAAGAAAAGTTTTGGATGTTATATCTCAACTTCGGTATATATTTATATATTCTTTTATTAAAAAAGTTATTTAATATCTTAATTTAATAAATTCATATGCTACCTCGTTTTGATTTTTTATCATTTTTTTAAAATTTTATTTATTAGATAAATTTTGTTAAAAATAAGTCAATGAATATAGGAATAACAAAACAACCTAGATTCAATGGATTTCAATTCATTATGATCCACTCAATGTATTTTTTTTAAATAAATATTGGGTTATATTTTATCTTTTTTAAACAATTTAGATCAAGTCACGATTAGGTTTAAGGTGCTCTACCTGACTCTCCTCACGATATGTAAAAGAAAATATTTTATTATTTATTTCATTTATATTTTTTATATATGTAGTATTTTAATAAAGATATTATTTAATATCTTAATTTAATAAAAAACTATATTTTTATATAATTAAGTTATAATTTTATATTAAAAAAATAATACACTTATATTTGTTTACATGTTATTATCTATAAAATTTAATATAAAATTTTTTTTTCTTTCTCATATTCAAAACATAATTTTAAAAATTAAAAATAATCCCACAATGAAACATGGGTCTAAATCTAGTATCTAACAATTTTAATAGGAGAAAAGAAGTGATAATATTAAAATATTTAACCATTTCTTGATCGATGTATAATAAGTAAAATATTACAAGTTGAACTTAAAAGTCACTTTCCCATTCTTTGTTCAACATAATGGCCTAGGGCTTACACTGATTCCGAACATTACAATTACAGCAAAACAAGCAGTTTATTAGGCAAATAAACAAACCAGTCATCAGGGAAGCACCTCTGTCTTGTTTTCCTAGCCACCCAATCAGCAACACAATTGGCCTTTCTTCTCACATGAAAAAAGGAAGAGAGCTGCAAACAATCCGTCATCAACAAAAAGTTGTCTTCAATAGCCAAGTTTCCCAACAATGATACGTCCTATCAGAATTCAATCTCTGGATAATCTCTTCATCATCGGACTCGAAAGTTACTTTTCCCCATCCCCCTCTAACAGCAAAAGCATAACTCAGGGTTGATGCTAAAGCTTCAGCCATAAGTGCAGAGCTTGTATGCACTAGTGCATTCGTTCCATCAATTACTATCATAATGTAGAAGTCTAAAAATTTGATGCTAGATACAAGATATAGAATTGTCACTAATCTTTTTTATTTAAGTACGATTGATCATTCGTCATCCTTTAAAGAGATCCTAAACTTAAATGTAAATTCTAATCTATTAAATCAAATTAAGTTTGGAAATATGATTTTGTGTAAAAAAATGTTATAGCGACCTTATAACGTTATTAAAAAAAAAAAAAAACAGTATCCCTTGATTGTGTTATTAAAAACCTAAAAAACATCTTAGAAAATGTTTTCAAATGATTTGATATCAAAATTTATTTTTAAATTACTCTAATAATTTAGTAAAAATTAAAAAATATTTCCTCACCTCATAGTATTTCGAAAGATTACTATTATTCTTGAAGAAGCTCCATCGTCGGATCATTAAAATTTTTTAAAAAATTTATATTTTTTTAAAGGAATAAATCTTCCAATAATATAAGACTTTATTTTAAAAAAATCCTCCAATCACCCGGTAGGATCAAATTAATATTCCAAAATTTTTCTTTAAATCTTTGAAATATTTCAATATTTTGATAAGATTCATGAATTTAATTTTTTAAAATTATTTTTAACCAATGAAAATATTTCAATAGTTTAGTAAGATTCATGAATTTAGTTTTAAAAAATTATTATTTTTTAAACCCATTAAATTTTCTAATAATTTAATAGGATTTCATGAATTTAATATCCAATTTTATTTTTAAACACTTTTGACTTTTTATTTTCTTATGTAAAAAAAATTCTACAATTAAATAACAAAAAAAATAAAATTTGGGGCTGCTCAACGTTAGTCAATGGCTCAAAATGACTTAGCGGTTCAGATCTTGCTTGTCAACTTGGTGTGGGCTCAACAATCTTTATCATGGCTCAACTCAACTTAGTTTGGCAGTTTGATCAAATGGCTTGGGTTATGAGTCGGATTTGAGTTAGGGCATAAGTCACCCTAAAGCAAAACGATATCATTTTACTGTTCTTTAAATAGCAAAATTTTCCCTTTCCTCTTCGCTTTTCTTCCTCCTCTTTATCTCTTCTTTCATATCACTTTATTCTCTCTCTACAAAACTAATGAAGCTGTCGGATACTTAAAGCTCTTTCTAGAATTTAACAAAGGTCTACCATTGCTGTCATAACCAATCGCCGATCACTAGTTTTGAGTTTATTCCAAAAGTTGCCTAAATGCTCGTTGTCGTATCCACTTCCCCTTTTTCAAATCGATTTTCTTTGAAATTATCCAAAATAGCCTGGATCTACAACTTTAGCTCATGACCCTAACCTCTCGAAACACCCTTTTCATCGTTCTGATTAGCTTGAAACTTTAGTGTGCTGTTTTCCTCAAACTACTCTTCCTTTCCATCAATTTTCAAGCTAAAATCTTATTAAGAACTATGAAACTAAAGATAAGCTCAACTATTGATTATACTAAAATTTTAGTATTTTTATACTCATTGTTATTGCAATTTTTTTTATATTTTGGCTGGTTCCTTGTAAATTGTGACAAAATACTCCTAAATACATATTTTTCTCATGTGTAAGTAAAAATAAAGAAAATAATGAATTTTGGATAATTTGTTCATATTTTGAAGGATTTTCTATGGTAAAAGCTAGCAAAAGCCATAATTAGTGTAATTGTGCTTATTGTTTATCAAGGGCATTCCTCTTACCTTTTTTTCTTCTATAGCTTCTTAACATATAGATGATTAAATTTCAAATTTTGGTCAAGTATTATAATGCCAAATTGGTTCATTTTATGGCTTGAATTTTGTAGCAAAATGAATGCATGAAGTTGGCATTAAAAGAGAAGGAAATAAGTAAAATTACCATTTGTGTGCATGTTTCATGCAATGTATTTTTGAAAACAAATGCATGAAATACATGAATATGATAATACGATGAATGGATGATAATTTAAACTTGAATGATGAAGAATGAATGCTTGACAACATAAAAATGCAT